ACAAGCTCACCCGGAAGCCCTTTCTCAAGCGCCGTCGAAACAAGATGGCGGCGCCCAAGCAAAATAGGCGGCCCGGTACAAAATGATCCACGGACCGGTACCAGTCCGGGGCCCGGTGGTTGAGGACCACTGGACTAGAAGACCTCCAAGGTCCCTTCCAGCTCTATTCTGATTTTGAATTCTGATTCTTCACTTCTCTTGCGACCTTTCCACCCTAATTCCAGAAGGCCTCAAAGCCTGCTAGTAACTTGGCCGTCTCAAATACCTAGAATGTGCCTGAAGCTTTTGGTGGAAGTTTAAGCCTCTCTGTCCTCCTTCATCCCCAGTTCAGAGGAGCATCGCAAGAGGTTGCGAAATCTGCATAGAGGTGTACTTTTTTTTTGCCAAGGGGGCCCTTCAATTATGAAACAGGAGTTGCCGTTATTGATTTGACAAGCCATTAGCTGCGGCTGGAGCACCAGAGAGCAGTCCCGTTGCTGATGCAGGCAGATCAAGCCAAACCACTCCGAGGAAAACCTCGCATAAGCCTTGCTCTCTGAGACCCGATGGGGAAAACTCTTGGCACCTGCATCAAATTATCCGAAAGTGCTGATCTACCACACATCGTTTTAAAAAAAAAAAATGGCTTCCCCCGTTTGACGTGAGGCGTTTTTGCTCTGGCATGCTCAGAAGAGGGATTTACGTCCATCTTGGGCACAAATCTGTCAGATTCGATCGGGCCTCTCCTTCGAAAACACGGATGGGTTTGAAAGAAATGCCCAATGGGGAGAATTTAACTAATGGATCCCGGGAACCTTTGTAAACACAATATGACTTCCCGTTGCAGGCTGAGCAAACAGCTCTGTACGGATTTGACCACCAGAGACGACTCTCTCTAATGCTTTCTAACAAATTGGGTGAAGGCGCTGAGAGAGAGGCCAATTGACAGGACCCCATCCAATTGAGAAAGATCTTCCGAGGCAACTTCTACTGGATCTTCAAATGGGTTAAAAATGGGGGGGGGGGTGACTTACTTCGAGGGACGGGTTCGTGGCTTGGTTTCTTGAGGCCAAACTGGTTTTCTCCCAGGTCCCATTTCAGCTACGTGAAGAACAAAACATCTAACTGATTCCCCTTGCCAAAAAAGATCGGCCGTCTCTACCACAAAGCTCTCATTGTTCTCACCAAGGCTTCCTAGACCGTAATTACGCACACGCTTATTTTAAAAACAAGTCTTCTTTTATTGCAACGCTGGGAATTGTTTTCATTCCTAGCCTGTAATGAATCTCAAACAGTCCCTCGAGATAAGCACCCACCTTTCTTTTCTGTGAAGTGCTGCCAAGAACAGAAGTGTCTAATGAACTAGAAAAAAAACCCAACCAAAATGCAAAGAGCTTCAAGAATGAATCTGAACTGAACAAATGACTTTGCTTCCTGCAAAGGTTTCTTCACCTTTGCCTGTCCCTCATACCTTATGGGAAGGGCAATCACCTCCAAGCCTTACTCTCGAGTCACCCCTTTTGTCTCAGCTGCTCTTGCCTTCTAGCAGCTCTGTGCATGCGCGCACTGGGAACAGGCTCCCCTCGTTCCTCTGCCTCGCTGATGCCAGACTCCGGAGTCTCCAGAGTCAGCACCCCACTCCCAGATGGTCCTGGCCCCATCTCTGCATCAGATGCAGGACCCTCGTCCAAGTCCTCCCCAAAGTCCTGGACTGATCCCTGTTCTTCCCCACTGTCTGCACAGGCTGCCAGCGAACCACAACACCCAGGTTATTGTCAGGGTTGTCCCAAAAATGCTTTTTTTTTTCCAACAGGCAACTGGACTTCCTAGTGTTTTTCTTTGAAGATGTTTTGCTTCTCCTCCAAGAAGCTTCTTCGGCTCTGACTGGATTCTGACCTTCCCTTCCCCACCGCCATCCAGTCAGAGCCGAAGAAGCTTCTTGGAGGAGAAGCGAAACATCTTCAAAAAAAAAAAAAAAGAACCCACCAGAAAGTCCAGTTGCCCCTTGAAAAAAAAAAAGAAAACCACACTTTTGGGACTCCAAAGGTTATTGATGTTTTCAAGTCCATACAGACTGCCTGCCACATGCCTTTTAACAGATAACAGAGTTGAAAGGGACCTTGTAGATCATCTAGTCCAACCCCCTGCCCAAGCAGGAGGCCCTACACCATTTCTGACCGATGGCAGTCCAGCCTCTTCTTGAAAGCCTCCAGGGATGAAGCTCCCACAACTTCCGAAGGCAACTTCTGTTCCATGGGTTGATTGTTCTCTCACTGTCAGAAAGTTTCTCCTTATTTCCAGGTTGAATCTCTCCTTGTTTAGTTTCCATCCATTCTTCCTTGTCTGGCCTTCGGGTGCTTTGGAAAGTAGCTTGACCCCCTTCCTCTATGTGGCACCCAAGATTTCCCAAATGTCTTCAACAAATGTACTGTCTCTCCTTCATCAGCTAACACAAACAACATTCACGTAAGCTACAAGCTCAGATGCCTCTATGGTCATGCCAGCAACTTAATTCCCAAGCAAATGTCCCCTCTTGATTTTTCTCCATTCATCACAGTCTGCCTTGACCCAACCCTTCAGTACAATGCAAACGATACAGATTGAACAGAGTTGGAAGGGACCTTGTAGGTCATCTAGCCCAACCCCGTGCCCAAGCAGGAGGCCCTACACCATTTCTGACAGATGGCAGTCCAATCTCTTCTTGAAATCAAGGGACTGTGAAACAAACAAACAGTAAACAACAGCCCAATGAAAGGAACCATGGAAGAATACTCCCATCCACACTAACAGAGCAAGCCATTGGAATATAAACAGTATAACCAACCCTTTTAGCCTTCTAGCCCTGATTGTTTAGTTTAGTTTAGTTTACTTTTCTTTATTGTCATTGCACCTCGTACAACAAAATCAAACACCATCTTCAGTGCACATCATGACCATGGAAATAAACACAAACACACATCCTTCAACCTCCACACATTGAAGCGAAAACCCCTAACACCGCACCAACACTGCACTATACAATAGAATTTAATAGAGTTACTGCCCTGGGATAGAAGCTGTTTTTCAGCCTATTTGTCCTTGTTTTTATTATTGTCCTGTACCGTCTGCCAGATGGCAATAGTTCAAAAAAAAGGAAGCCCAGGATGAGATGGATCTTCGAGAATGTTTTGAACTTTCTTAAGGCAGCGGGAGCTTTAAAGCTCTTCCAAAGAGGAGAGAAGGCAACCAATGATCCTCTGGGCAATGATATTCACCCTCTGGACTGCTTTCCTATCTGTCCCTGTGCAATTGGCAAACCAGACAGAGGTGCAGTAAGTTAAGATGCTCTCTCTGGTGCGGCGGTAGAAGGTCACCAGCAGTTTTCCATTCAGTTGTTGTTTCCTGAGAAGCCTCAGGTAGTATAATCTCCGCTGGGCCCTTTTGACCAGGGCTGCAATGTGAGCCCCCCAGGTCAGGTCCTCTTTTAGGGTAACACCCAGAAACTTAAAACTGGCCACTTGCTCCACTCGGTCTCCATGGATAAGCAGGACTGGATGTCTCAGCTGTTTCTTCCGTAGTCCACTATAAGCTCCTTGGTCTTATTGGTGTTGAGGACCAAGTTATTGTCTCCACACCACGAAAGCAACCGGTCCACCTCATCTCCGTAGGCAGACTCATCCTCCCCAGAGATGAGTCCCACCACTGTTGTATCCTCTGCAAATTTAGCAATAGTATTACTAGCAGGGGTGGGAGTGCAGTATAGAGTGAGGGACTCAACATGCAACCCTGTGGTGTACCGGTGTTAAGAATAAGGGCTGAAGAGGTACGATGACCTAATCTGACCCTCTGTGAGTGGCCAGACAGGAAATCCATCATCCATAGGCTTGTGTTACCTAGTTGGGTCATGAAACGTTTGGGAGAAAATTTGCTAAGGTCAGAGAACACCAAAGGACCCCCCCACACACACACAGTTCAACCCTGAGCTAATAAATATTCTCATGGTCTATTAGTATTAAATTTCATAAATAAAGAGACCGGGTGCAAATATAACGGTCAGCCCTGCCCCAGCTCTCTCTCTTTGTTCACAGCGATCTAGGTCAAAATCTTCACTTTGGGCATTGAGATACTACGGAGGCCTTAATTAAATCCAAAAGTGGAGGGGAAAGAAGAAGAAAAAAAAAAACCATTAGAAAGCCGTACAAGGCATTGGAGAGAACGTGCTAATTATCCCCGTATCATCTCCTGTACATTTTTCTCTTCACAGCCCAGCTAATGCAATATTCACAACTTAACATCTGGTTTCCTGGTGAGGTTGACACGGGGAGATCTGTAGCTGCCTTCAGGCCGCTTACACGGGTGGGAAGATCTTGATTCCCTTGTCACCCGCGAGCACTCCCCGTTTCACTCACCCCTTGATTCTAACCGGTGTGGACACCTTGGCTGAGCTCCATCCTGTACCATCTGGGGAAGCCGCTCCCCCGCAGCTTGCTTTGGCGGAAAATTAGCAGCGTCACGCTGCAGCTCAGTATCTCCCTCTGTCCCTGTTGGAGTCTGACTCCAAGAGAGGGGAGGAACAGCCGACAGGGAGTGGGAGTGTGGCTCCGGAGGTTGTGAAGGAAACTGGGGAAGGGCACAGGCCGGCTGGGCAGTCCGAGGAAGACCCAGGCTCACCCCCTTTTCATCTTAGGGCACGGAGGCAGGAGCAGATAAGGGAGAAATGTGAGTGGCGTGGTCTATGGGGGAGGAAGGGGCCCTGATCCCCTTCATGGGCTGCAGCTGGGAGGACTGTTTAAAAGGACAAACTGTGCATGGCCCAGTGCTGGAAGCAAAGCGTGCATTATTCTGGAGCTTATCTGTGTTTTGGCTTCCTCCCAACTGTGGTGACTGCTTATCTGGTAGAAGTCTGCAATTAATCATCCTTGGCTGCATTCTTTCATTCTTTCTTTGCATTCTTTCATTCTTTCTTTGCATTCTTTCAGTGTGGTGTGTTGGGTTTGGCATCAGCACGCACGACCAAGGAAAGGCGAGCCGAGCCGAGCGACTGGCCAGCCAGCCATCCCCCACTTCTCCCCGCTACCTTCAACTCCTCCTTTGTACCTTCTCGCGGTCGATGGGCTTTTCGGGCTCTTTCTTAATCTCCTCCTGAGTAACGTGAGACTCCACCGCCATCGGGACGGCTCTTCGTTCGAAGCTGCCCCCCCCCACTCTTCGACGAAACTAAGGCGCGAGGATTCCTTCAGCACCCAAACGCCGCTTTCCAACCGACGACCGACAAGCTCACCCGGAAGCACTTTCTCAAGCGCCGTCGAAACAAGATGGCGGCGCCCGCCCTACTTTCATTCTTTGCGGCCTGGTACAAAATGATCCACGGACCGGGACCGGTCCGGGGCCTGGTGGTTGGGGACCACTGGTTTAGAGAACCCCAAATCCCAATCCTGTCTGGCCTCCACCCACCGGCTTCCAGAGAGCCTCCGGAGTCCGGGGAGGGCAAAAACACTCCCCTTGCTGTGGTGCAGGAGGCCGACTAGGCCACACCCACCCAGCAACCAGGCAGAGAATTCCGTGCTAAAAAATTTTGAAGCCCACCCCTGGGTGCACGGGTGAGATTGTCGTAAGCCCGGTCACCAAACATCTGCAGGAGAAACTATCAAAGCTCAGAGAACAGTGAGAAGTACGCAATCCTGGGCTGCATCTATTTATTCTCTTGTAGGGAAGAGACGGGCCTGTTTTTTTTGCAAGATGGGCCGCGAAAAAAAAGAGCGGGAGGATACATACCACTGCAAACATTTTCAGCCCACATCCTGGAGAGGAGTTGAATGTCAACTCATAAAAATATTTCTATGGTCTTTTTAGAGTTGCCAACAGAAAGGAAGGGGGGGCCAGGAAAAGGTTTGAAAGAGCAGTGCGGCAGAATGGAAATGGAAAGTGCATTCCATCAATAGTTTTGCAAAGATAGTAACTAGGTGACTGCCGGGATCCTGATACTGACATCTTCACGGGGCCAAGCTCAGCTTTGGGTCCCACAGTCTGAATTCCTTCACGGCAGCCTTGGCCATTTAAGCCGAAGTATCGATTAATCATTCGCAGGTTATCCCAAAGGTGCTTTTTTTTTTTTCCAAGAGGCAACTGAACTTTCTGGTTTTCCTTGGAAGAGGTTTTGCTTCTCATCCAAGAAGCTTCTTCAGTTCTGACTGACTTCCATCCTCCACCAGAACGGAAGAAGCTTCTTGGAATGAGAAGCAAAACCTCTTCAAAGCAAAAACCAGAAAGTCCAGTTGCCACTTGAAAAAGCAACTTTGGGACAACCAGGACTTGGAGGACGGGGAATCGCCATAGACATGGGTCTGTTTCAGCTTCCAGTGGGGGAAAAAAATGACAAAAGCTGTGTATGTGGGTGTGTGCCTTCCTTGAGATAGACTGCACTGGATCACATTTGTGGAGAGATTTCTGCAATGAGCTCTCAGATAAAACAACCGAAACTTTTTTGCAATAATAGGCCGGGAGCATAATGCATTCTTGACATCCTGGCTGCCTCTCAAACACAATTTAGAGTTCAGAATTGATCGGGAAGGTTACCCAAGGCATCTGATTGGTTTACCATCCTGAAAGGAGCTCCCAAATTGTGCAGGAATTAAGTCTTTTGCCAAACTTCTACCAGAGCAAATAAGTTCTTATAAATGACCGTCGTTTATTTTGGCGACGGCTTCACGAACAGATGTGAAATCAAAGATGATGATAAAAATAAAAATAAATTTACTACTGGTTCTGTGGGTGTGACTTGGTGGGCATGGCTTGGTGGGCGCGGCAGGGGAAGGATAAAATCTCCATTCCTACCCCTCCCCAGGGGGAAGGTGACCACCGGTTCTCCGAACTACTCAAAATTCCCGCTACCGGTTCTCCAGAACTGGTCAGCACCTCCTGAATATCCACCTCTGTCGCTGCCCCAGGTAACAATGCAAAATAAATACCTCTCCGTTTTAATAAGCATTCCAAGTTTGGAGGGGATTCTTACCTTCAAAAGATCTATTTCTTTAATGCAATCTTGCCTGGCCTTTGCATCCATCATCTCGAATATCTTCAGAAAGAGGAAGGTGAGGGGTGGGGGGGAAAGTTGCATGTTTAAAGACTGTCACGAAACAAGAATCTTGCAATTCATAAAAAGCTCTTAACCCCCCTTTCTTTTCAAACTTGCCTGCACCCCACTCCTCACAGTTCTTCAGGCTTAAATAACACCCGCACATAAAGCAAAACAAAAAACAAACAAACTAACAATACAAAGCAATAAACTAGCTAACAATACAAAGAACAGCATGCAGTTCATTTAATTTCTCAAGTTCTCAACCTGAAAAAGCAAAAACACGAAAACACGAAGCAACTGTCATGCATAACGGAATGCAAATTTTCGAGAATATGCTGAATGCACCAAGAAAAACATTTACAAATAAAGACCTAGCACGTTACAAATGGTTTTTCTCTTGACAAAAGTAAATTGGTTTCTTCTGCACCTAACAGGTACTAATTGGAAAACAAAAGGCTCTTAACGCCAAAATCCATTTTTGGAGCTCAACTGACTATATTTTATGAAAGTGGATGGACCACACTCAAGGCAGGCCTCTACTATACTGGCAATGATTTGTTCAGCGGCTGTTTGAAGATACAACGGTGCTGGGAAAAGTGACTTACAACTGGTCCTCACGCTTATCACCATTGCAGCATCCCTGTGGTCACCTAATCGACAGCCAGCAAGGAGACAGGCTGACCAGGCTGACAATGAATTCCCAGTTTTTTTACCTGTACCAAAGATGCTTTTAATTTTTAAAAGTCAACCGCACTTTGTTTTTCCTTGAAGAGGTTTCGCTTCTCCTCCGAGAAGTTTCTTCCGTTCTAGTTGAATGGTGGAAACGGATGGATTGATATTCAATCAGAACGGAAGAAGCTTCTCGGAGGAGAAGCGAAACCTCTTCAAGGAAAAACAAAGTCCAGGTGCCTTTTGAAAAGAAAAAAAAAGCAGCCTTGGGACAACCATGATCTGGATTACTTGTTTATCTCCATGGGACGTTCTTACCTGTACTTTTTTTAATGCCACCGGTTTTCTGTCCAGAAGACAAGTCGCTCTGTAGACCTCACTGAATTGTCCTCGCCCAATTTTCTTCTCAATCTGAAAATCTGCTAAAGTGCAGCGATAGAGGTGTCTCTGTTTGAAAGAGGGAAGACAGCAATGAACGGGATGAAATTTGTGCACATTTTATACGCGGGACACGCCAAGGCGGCATTGCTTGAGGTCAACTTGACATTGGCTTCTCCATTTGGGTTTTCCTTTTTCTAACACCCCCCCTGAAAAATATCACCTCTCGCTCTGCGCCAAATATTATCTCTCGCTCTTGACTTTCACCAGGGTTTCCCTGCACCAATCTTCAGATGAAGTCTTAAACAACTACAAACATTGTGGGTTCACTTTCTGTAACTTAGTGCTTCTTTCTTAGGACAGAAAGAAACATTTCTCTGACACAACATATGAGGTTTGTAATGCAGAAGGAAATATTCTGGGCTATGGCTTTTTCTATCTCCAGTTGTGTTACTTGGGAATTTATGGAAGCAATCTTCCACAGAAAGCCCTCTCCACGATGTATTTATAGGCATGGAGAAGTTCCACCACCCTGAAAATAAGACCCTGTCTTATGGGAGGGCACCAGGTCTTATTTTCGGGGGGATGCCATCCACTGACTCACCTCACTTATGCACATTGCCCCCAGCCTCCTTTTTCCTGTCAGAGGCCTTCAGGAACTTCTTCTTCTGTGGCCGGCAAGGCTTTTCTGAAGACCTCTGCAGCCGATAAGAGAGCTCTGGATCGATCCAGAGCTTTGTCATCAGCTACAGAGGCCTTCTGCTGGCTGCAGAAGAAATGGGCCGGCAAGGCAGGTGTCGGGGTGTGCGAGGCCTGGCTACACCTGTCCAAAGGTAAGTAGGAGAGCAGCTACACACACCCATCCCAACCCTACCTTAATTTTTACCCGTCCACTCTGGGTGGGTAAAAATCAACCAGGGCTTACTTTCAGGGTAGGTTTTATTTGAGGAAACAAAAACAGAAAACCATTAAGCTAATATGAAAAGGTCCAGAATGGTGTTCCTCAACGGGGGAAAATGCAGGAACACTTGTTTCTCAACCTCAACAATTTGAAGATGTGTGCCTTTCAACTCCTAGAGTTCCCATGCTGGTTGGACGAATTCTGGAAGCTGAAGTCCACATATCTCCAAAGTTGATGAAATTCGGCCACGATGGTCCGGAAAAAAAAAGCTCATGTTTCCTGGGTCCCAGTGGGTCATCGCAGAATGCAGAGATGGTGTTCTGACTTAGGCTGTCTGAGAAAGCATAAAACACAATCTTAGTCCCAGCAAAACCTCTTTTATTTCCACGGCTGTGAATTACATTCATTCACAGCCTACAAGGCTTCCCAAACAGTCCTTCAGGGCAATGTTTATAAACACCCACCATATTATCACCCTTGGAATGCTGCCAGAGAACGAATTGCCAGATGCAGGGCAAGGCCAAGCTTGACACAGAGTCAAACAGAACTTTTCAAAGCTTGAACTGACCAGAAGAACTAATTGCTTCCTGCAAAGGCTCACGTCCCGTTTGCTCCTCTTTTATGTCCTATGGGAGGGGCCAATTATCTCCGAGGTGTGGCCTTACTCCTGAATCGACCCTGGTTTCTCAATTGTTCTTGTCTTCTGCTAGATCTGCACATGCGCAGGCTGGGAACCGGTTCCAGAAGCTCCCCCGCCTCACTGCTGTCTGAGCCCAAAGGCAGCTGCTAACTGCCAGCCTGCCCTGGCTCCATCTCTGCCTCCGATGCAGAGCCCTCACCCAAGCCCTCCTCAGCCTCCAAGCCTAGCCCAGGTTCCTCCCCAACCTCCTAGCTACTGTCCGACTCTGCTATAAGCTCCGTCGGCCGCCGGTGGGCCACAACAGGCGGCTTCTTCAAACTCATGGAGTCATCCGCTTGCCCATCTGATAGAGCAGACGGTAGAGGATGGACCATGAAGATCTGGAGCACCTCACACGCAACGTCTATATTCCGATGCAAGTCAACCTTGGAAAGGGAGCAACAGGTTATCCGAAGGAACTTCTCCGTCTGAGAAACCAACCGTGGTGGGGGAAGCACGTTATTTCCTGCACTGTGGTTCTAATGCCTTAAAATATGGCTTAAGAAAAAAGAAGTTGGCTTGTTGAGACCCATTCAGATTGGGTGATGATTGAGAGCTCTGGAGGACGAAAAGCCTTAATTAAACCCACGCAGCCACAGAACTGGAACTCACATCGCAGCCCCAAACAAAGGAACAAATCAGGGTCAGGTCAAAACTTGCAAAAAACGCCCCCCCTGGAGATGAGGAATAATCCATGTTCTGGCTGCTTTTGAATAGCTGCTGCTAATGTGGGTTTACATAGTGAATTTCTTAAGTGGGAGAGTAAGTACATTAAAAAGGGTAGGCAATCAAAGGCACTTTTGACAAGCTAAACTATCTCTCCACATCCTTCTATTATTAGAAAGAATTAGTGGGCGGTGAGGAAAGGGCGGTCTATCAGTGGTGGGATTCAATTTTTTTTTTACTACCAGTTCTGTGGGTGTGGCTTGGTGGGCGTGGCAGGGGAAGAATACTGCAAAATCCGCATTTCCTCCCCACCCCACTTAACCTGCTTTCCAGCTCCGTTCTCCTGGGCAGGGCAACCCAAGGAGACCCAGCCGATCATCTGGGACTCAATGGGAGGCGGAGAAGAGATGGGGTTGGCGGGGCCAGTCAGAGGCGGGATTCCGAACTACTCAACATTTCCACTATCGGTTCTCTAGAACCGGCTGAATACCACCTCTGGTGTCTACCCTTGGCAACTTTAGGACTTGTGGACTTCAACTCCCACAATTCCCCAGCCATCATGAAGTCCGTAAGTCCTAGACTTGCCAAGGTCGAACACCCCTGTGTCCGGTGTAGGCAGTTGCCTGAGTAGACATGGTGGTTAGGATGGAGGCCATGATTTGCCCTGGATCAGCATACTTTGGCAGACTCAAAGCAAAGCAAACTTTATTATTCACCCTCTGCAGTGACTGAGAGCAAAGATAGTTCTCCAGTTATGACCGTCACCGAGCCTCCCCGTTACAAGCGCAAGTCATGACGATTCGTAAGCAAGGTGTCTGTGGGATCACCTTGTTTAACAATCTCCATCTCTGCTCACCTCAATGCAGTCATTAAGCGACTGCATGGGTCATTAAGTGGAGCATGGATGCCTCAGGGGTGGGGGGAGGCCCACCAAGAACAAATACATTGTCCTTTAAACCTTCTTTCAAGCCAAATATTCCACAACGAACAGCAAAATACACCCCAGCAGACATCTCATAGGTTCATACCCCATATTAAACTAAGTCTGTTTAACCATGATTATTTGAACATTATCTGTCTTTGACTTGCAATGGTTCATTTAGCAACCGTTCAAAGTTACAACGACACTGAGGAAAAAATTGTGTTTCACGTTTATGACTGTTGGAGCATCTCTACGGTCACATGATCAAAATTCAGATGTTTGACAACTGAATTTCATACTTATGAATCCATTGCTATGTCCCAGGGCCTACCATCTTAACCAGTGGAATGATTCACTTAACAACGAGGGTCAGGAAAGTCGTACGATGGGAGGAAACTCACTTAGCCAACATTTCACTTAGCAGCTTAAGTTTTGGGCTCAACTGTGGTCATAACTTGAGGACTACCTGTATATGGACAAAATTGTGTAGCGTGGGAACCCAGCCACGAATATTGTAAAGCAGGGGAAAAAACAGACTTTATGTGCAACCAACGCTTTTGTGAAGGTTATAGAATAGAATAGAAGCTGGAAGGGACCTTGGAGGTCTTCTAGTCCAGCCCCCTGCTCAAGCAGGAGAACCTACACCATCTCAGACAACTGATGGTCCAGTCTCTTCTTAAAAACCTCCAGTGATGGATCGCCCATGATTTCTGGAGGCACCAAAACAATCAACAGATGGGGACAAATTTTAAAAAATAGAAACAGAAGGATTGACTGCTATAAATGCCTCCATACCAGCCTCTCGTTTAAAATTACAGCATTCTCAGGAGTGAAATATACAGTGCAAAATTTAAGTGTTTTTTGTTTTTTAAGCTTAAGATGTTTACATTGAAAGTTTATCTGAACATATCTCCGGGGAACAAGGAATCCTTCAGAAGTCAGTTTTATTGCCTTAGTGGGTATAAATCTAACTCAAGCCAACATTAACCAAAATCAATTTGGTAGATTAATTGCAAGCCCTAAAAAAAAATATGCTAAAAGAAACAAACCTAATTTTTTTTTTTTTTGCAGCAAAACAATAAAACGCAGATTAGAAGTTCCTCATTTGAGTTACTTGCAGCCGATAAAATTTCGACGATCCTACAGCATTGCAGGGCTGGTAAGAAACGACACTGGCAGCAATTACATGCCAGCCCCATATATAATTATGTCCTCGTTTTCTCTAATTAGAAAGTCGTTTGTCACAAAAGAATAGGCTGGCTGAAAAATTGTATATAAACAGGAAAGGGGGTAGGTGCAGTTATTAATCCGCCTTTGAAATTTGTGGACATGTCCAAAAACATGACTAAAAATACAAAACAAACTTGGTGACACCCAGCAAATTTTTCCAAGCCTAAGTGGAACCAACTTTTGTGGCTATTAAAGTTGTGTTTAAGCATCCCGTCTCCATCCAATCTCAAATGCACCGTATTCTTTCCTCGATTAACACATTTTCTCCCCCCTCCTTCTTAAAGAGTTGCTCGCTACCTTGCAAGAGTTCCTAAAGAAACCCGTTCCAAAATTTCAATTATCTTCACGGCCTTGCTTTCACAACTCCAAGAATTACAGATTTAATCCAAGGGGAGAGCAGCCAAAATTTCATTCAAAAAATAATAATAATATTTTTTTTTTAAAAAATAGCCAGGGTTGTTGACAATAAGAGTCAAGTCAACAAGAACCCAGAATTATCTACCGATAATTACCCTTAATCATGTTATTACAAATAACAGCATGCCCTCTTCAATGCTATGTGTGTGTGTGTGTGTCTGTTGTGTAAGAACACATCCTAATCTTGTTCGTGGAATAATTACATGGGTTCCCATTCTGCCAAATGAGACTGTAATTAACCCTAATTGCTCAAAACGTAACTTGGCTAATTCAAGGAGATCAATTACTATTAAATGACTTAATAAGACAAATTGCTGCATGAGAGAAGGGGCTGTGCGCAGAAAAACCCGCATTTATAGGCGACTGATTGTTGGTGCAAATTCCATAGTTGGGCTCAAGTAGCTCAGCCACACACTCTGGTCCTTGCACAATCTCTCCGCACCAACGGGCTGAACGCTTCTTCGGGCTCAATGAATAATTCAGCTACGGACAACAACTGGATGGTATGTCGCCCATCAATCGAGAAAAAACAGTGGTGTTCTTTTCAGCCTACCCTGTTTCCCCGAAAATAAGACCCTGTCTTATATTTTTTTTGCCGCCAAAAAAGGCTCCAGGTCTTATGAAATCCGACTAACCTCACTTGCATGCGTCACCCCCGGCCTCCTTTTCGCTGTCAAGAGGCCTTCAGGAACCTTTGGATCGATCCGGAGTGTTATCAGCTACAGAGGCCTTCAGGAAAGCCTTGGTGACTACAGAAGAAATGGGCCGGCAAGGCAGGTGTCGGGGTGGGCGAGGTCTGGCTACAACTGTCCAAAGGTAAGTAGTAGGACAGCTGCACCCCCCCCACCATCTCCATCCTAGCTTAATTTTTACCCGTCCACTCTGGAGTGGGCGGGATCTTAATTAGGGCTTATGTTGGGCGCACGTGTAAAATCAAGCTAGGACTTACTGTCAGGGTAGGTCGTATTTTTGGGGAAAACAGGGTAAAAAGGCACAATTGCATGTGCTATGATATCCAGTGACCGAAGAGCTGCAAATGAATCACAGAGGAGAAGGCCTGACCTTACAGAAATGAAGAAAACATGGTGGCTATTCAACAGAGCTTGGCCAAGAATGAGAAGGAAAGCAGGTGGAGAACAATAAGCCCAACTTTTTCTAAGAAAACGTCACAGCAGGGTTGGGCCTCCTCCATATAAGGTGCTAAGACAGCGTTGATGTGATACATGATGGAGGAACTCTTGTTCAAATACAATCGAAGTCTTGTATTTCATTGGGCTTTTTTTCCCCCTTGAAAACATTTCACTTCTCATCCAAGAAGCTTCTTCGGTTCAAGGAGTCCATCCAAGAAGTTCTTCATTGAAGAACTGAAGAAGCTTCTTAAGATGAGAAGTGAAGCGTTTTCAAGGGGGGGGGGGGGAAACCAAGGAAGTCCACTTCCCTTTTTGGAAAGCACCTTTGGGACAACCATGGCCTGGATGACTGAGAATCTCCAGAGATAATTTAGG